AAGCAAGTAAGCCTGCAATTGCGATGGTGGCAATACACAAAAAGAAAAGGGTCAGAAACAACAACCCGCTTCAGAGCAAGGGCAGGGTAGAAAGAAGGCATTAGGAAAGAAGGGGCGTAGAAATGTGCAGGGGGGTTACATGGTGGAGGGGTAAAGTACGAAAGCTATGTGGTGCAACAGAAGCATTGAAAGGGAAACGAGAACGCAGGAAAAAATCGGACAGAAGGGGGCACAGCAGAAACAAAGTTACCAACAGTCTTGGGTGGAGAAGGCGGAGGAGGAGGCGGGGGAGGAGAAGCGTAAGCAACGATGCCGCCAGGGCTGAGGACGAGCGGCCCGCCAAGATAGATCACCGCGCCATTGCTGCCAGCAATGGTGCCGTTGCTCCACCCAGTCAGGTCCCCTGCAGTGTACGGCCCGTCCGCATTCTCAATCGGCACAATCAACTTCCCTGAATCGTCCAGGATCGTGCCGTTCTTCAGGCTTATGGTCGCTCCCATGTGGAACCCGGCAGTGGGTCCGACGATGACCACGACCATGCCCGGACCATTGAGCATGCGGTTGGGGTAGGCTATGAAAGTACAATCTTACTTGTAGGCTATAGTGGGGCACTCCTTATGGGGTACAACACTTCTAGGGTAAGTACATGAATCCCAAATCTTGCTAATCCAATCATTCCTGCACAATTATTCTGACATGGTATTTAGAGCAGGAAACGTGTTAAGTTGTTAGGGCCCACCGATCGTTTTGCTAAGTTCCTGCCCGAAGCGCCTTGCACTGCCCGGTCCTCTCGCACAGTGTCGCGCTGCCCTGCAGCTACTCGCACTGCCTGCCCTAGCGCGCTGCCGTAGTGTCACGTGCGCCACTGCTGCCCGAGAGCAGCCCCTGCCCCGCGCGCCCCTGTTGCCCAAGAGCAGCCCCTGGCCCGCGCGCCCCTGCTGCCTGCGTGCAGCCTCTGCCCCGCGCGCCCCTGCTGCTTGCGAGCAGCCCCTGCCCCGCGCGCCACTGTGGCCTGCGAGCAGCCCCTGCCGCGCGCGCCACTGCTGCCTGCGAGCAGCCCCTGTCGCGTGCGCCACTGCTGCCTGCGAGCAGCCCCTGCCCCTCGCGCCACTGCTGCCTGCGAGCAGCCCCTGCCCCGCGCGCCACTGCTGCCTGTGAGCAGCCCCTGCCCCGAGCGCCCCTTCTGCCCGCGAGCAGCTCCTGTCCCAGCGCGCCCCGTCTGCAAGGTCTGCAGGGTTCATGCCCTACTGCCCTGCGCGTCGCGCTCTGCTACTCCCCGCGTCACGCCCTGCTGCAGCCCGCGCGTCGCGCTCTGCTACTCCGCGCGTCACGCCCTGCTGCAGCCTGCACATCGCGCCCTGCTGCAGCCCGCGCGTTGCGCTTGGCTTCTCCACACGTCGCACCCTACTGCAGCCCGCTCGTCCACTCTGCTGCCCCGAGCGTTGCGCCTTGCTGCAGCCCGCGTGTCGCGCCCTGCTGCCCCACGTGTCGCGCCGTGCTGCAGCCCGCGCATCGCGCCCTGCTGCCCTGCACAGCGCGTGCCCTGCTGCCCGCGCCGCCCAGCCCGAGCCGTGCCGCCCATCCCGAGCCGTCCTGCCCAACCGGAGCCGCCCTGCTACTCGTGCTACTGCTGCTGCTGGTGGAGGTGCTGCTGGGAGTGCTGGAGGTGCCGCCGTCCAGCCCCACCGAGCCGCTCTGCTGCTACTATTGCTGCTGCTGCTGCTGCTGGTGGTGGAGGTGCTGCTGGGAGTGCTCGAGGTGCTGCTGGCGCTGGAGGTGCTGGAGGTGCGACTGGGAGTGCTGAAGGTGCTGCTGGTGCTGGAGGTGCTGGACCTACTACTGACCGTCACGGCATCTCATGTCACTATCACGGCAGTTGCAGCGGCCAGGGGTGGACAGCGGCGGTCACTGCCTCTCTCGGACGACCCCACCCCTCGGTAGCTTCGCGAGTGGGTTCTTCAGCGAGCCCGTCCAGGTGGTTGAGGCTTTGGTTTTTTGCGTACTGCACAGAGGCAGTAGCAGAGTCAGCATGAGACCTTTTCCCCGCAGGTGCTTAGTGAGCTGGTTCCTCAGCGATGTGTCACTAGTTCTGTCGAGGCTGCTGCATAAGGTGCTAGTGAGTCTGCTACCGCACTAGGTGGTAGTGAGTCTGCTATCGCTCCAGGTGCTAGTGAGTTTGCTGCAGCTTTAGGTGCTCGTGCCTCTCCCGCCACAGGTCCTGCCTTAGCTAAGGCCTTGCACACTTTCACACTTGACTCAGGCGCGTCACGTTGCTTTCTTTCGTGATTGCACCACACTCACACCACTTGCTGCACTAGCTGAGGCAGGTCAGGTGGTTGCGTCGAGACAGGTGTCTGCGTCTGGTCAGCTTGCAGCGTCTTGCTCGTGCCGGGTACTCTCCCACCAGACTCTCCTCCGGCACCACCACCTCGGTCACCCCTCACTGCCGCGTCTCCGCAGCATGCACTCCCATCTCCTTGTCTTTGGGCTTCCCAGGTCCCTGCCCTCCCTCCCGCGCTTGCCTGCACCACCCTGCCTTCCCTGCGTCGAGGGGCGGCAGTGCGTCGCTCCTCACTCCTCCGAGTTTCCTCCAACCACTGCTCCTCTGCAGACTCTCCACATGGACGTGTGGGGCCCGGCCCCCGTCGGTGGAACGGATCAGGAGCGCAACTTCCTGCTGGTTGTTGACAACTATACACGCTACACCAGTGTCTTCCCTTTGCGGCGCAAGGCGGACGTCAGCGGTGTTTTGATCCCCTAGATACGTGCTACTCGTCGCCAGCTGCGTGAGCGGTTTCGTCAGGACTTGCCAGTCCTACGTCTGCACTATGACAGGGGCGGTGAGTTCTCTTCCGGCGTCCTTGAGGGGTTTTGTGGAGACGAGGGCATCCGCCAGTTGTTCACGCTTCCGGCCTCTCCTCAGCAAAATGGGATTGCTGAGCGTCGCATTGGCTTGATCATAGAGGTTGATCGTACCTCCATGATCCATGCGGCTGCTCCCCATTTTCTGTGGTCGTTTGCGGTCCGATACGCTGCGCATCAACTCAACCTCTAGCCCCACGTCTTATTGCCAGAGGCCTCGCCCACACTCTGTTGGACGAGACAGGTTGGCGATGCATCGGCGTTTCGGGTCTGAGGCGCGCTCCCCATTGTTCGCGATACCACTGCGAGCAAGCTCTCCCCTTGCACTCTCCAGTGCTTCTTCCTTGGCTTCCCCACCGACGCCCCGCCGTGACAGTTCTACCACCCGCGGGCGCGTCGACTCTTTGCCTCCCATGATGTCACTTTTGACGAGTCTGTTTGTTACTACAGGCTACACCCGCATGCGTCCCACCCGGTCCCCCTCGCGCATCTCTTCCTGGTACCAGTCCCCCTCCGGTAGACCCACTCCCCCCACAGGGTCCTGCTCCCTCAGGTGTGTCTCAGGTAGACCCACCCCCTTTGGATGAGCCTCAGGAGATCTCTTCTGACTCTCCTGGCCCAGTTGAGTGGGGTGACCCCGCCGCGGACGACACGGCGGCCACTCGCCGCTCTCCACGCTTAGAGACTCCCCCAGGTTTTCCACCTCGGCCTTCTTTGCCGCCTTCGCAGCCTGCTGCTGTGGACTCTGGAGCTGAGACTGCTGGTGCTGAGCCTGGGGGTGTTGAGACAGAGGGTGAGGGTTCTAGGGTGCTGCGCCTGGGGGTGCTGCGACTGGGGATGCTGACTCTTGGGGTGCTGCAAGTCCTAGTGGAGGTGGAGCTGTGGGTGACCCTGCTAGAGGTCTTGGAGCTGGACAGCCACTGCAGCCTGATCTACTTGAGACGCTCTCGCTGCAAGCGATTCGTGCGTGGATCGTTCTGAGAGGCAGTCCTGATGGTGGAGGGTACAGTCCTGCTGGTGCTTGATCTTATTCCTGGAGGTGTTGGAGGTGCTTGAGGTACCGCTGGAGGTACTCGAGGTGCTAGTCCTGGAGGTACTGGAGGTGCTGCTGGTGCTGGAGGTGCCGAAGCTACTAGTCCTGGAGGTGCTACTGGTGCTGGAGGTGCTGGACCTACTAGTCCTGGAGGTACAGCTGGTGCTGGAGGTGCTAGAGCTGCTGGCACTGGCGGTGCTGGTGCTACTGGAGCTGGAGGTACTGGAGGAGATGGAGTTGCTTGTCCTGGAGGTGCTCGTACTGGAGGTGCTGGAGCTGCCGGAACTGGTGGTGCTGCTGGTGCTGGAGGTACTAGGGGTACTGGAGCTGTTGGCACTGGAGGTGCTAGTGCTACTGGTGCTGGAGCTGCGGGAGCTGCTGATCCTGGGGGTGCTCGTACTAGAGGTACTGAAGCTGCCGGAGCTGGTGGTGCTGCTCGTTCGGGAGGTGCTACTAGAGCTGTTGGCACTGGAGGTGCTGGTGCTACTGGTGCAGGAGGCGCTGGAGCTGAAGGTACTGGAGGTGCTGGAGCTGCCGGAGCAGGTGGTGCTGCTGGTGCTGGAGGTTAGGCATGAGCAAATTCTCGAACACCTGTTCGGTTCGCCTCAAACATGTTTGAGGCGAACCGAACAGGCATTTTTTTTGCCCAAATCGTTCAGGGCGAACATGTTCGGTGTTCGGCCGAACATGTTCGCCATTCGCCAATGCCACTTTGGTATTCTCGTCGAAATTGGCCGCGACCAAATTTATGTCGTGGCCGTTTTGAGTGTGAGCTCATTTCGTGAGCTCAATCTCAAAACGCCTTTAGCGCTTAGTTCTGCCTCATACAACCGCCATAGCCTTGCGGTTTTAGTAGCCATCGCACACCGTTCCTTAACATCTATACGGACATTTCATCTAGGGTAGTCCATAGTGTAGTGCGTTTTCGTCAAAATTAAGGTTGAGTAGCATAGGGATCAAGCACCAAGCGGTCAAGGCTCTACTTGTAGGGACGGGCATTTCACCGTGCCACACGTAACTTGGAATTCAATTAGGACCGTGCTACTCGTGGCACGCGGCCGTTACTTTGGGGGGGTTTTAGGGGTTTAGGGCCGAGGGCGGAGTTATGGCTTCCGGCCAACATGGATCTCTTGAACGAGGTGCAGGCAGCGCTCAGGGCAGTACACCAGGTTCTCCACCACGACCTATGAAGGGGCGAGTAGGGGACGGATGTGCAGGAGCCGGCGCTTGTTTCGTCAGGGGGTCTCTTTCCATAGCGTCGCCAACATCCCGTCACTCTTTCCGTTACGACGGCCCTCGACCCCCTCCTTCGGGGCAGACGTGGCAGGAGAGTGGCAGTGAGGAGGAGGATGAGGAGGAGGAGGGTGAGGGCGAGGAGGATGAGGACGATGAGGGGAGCGGGGACGACAGTGAGGCCGGGTGGGAGCCAGAGACGCATGGCGGTGGGGAAGGGGGGGATAATGATAAAGACCATGAGATGGATGGGTTGGAGCCAAAGGATGTGGAGGAGGAGGTGGGAGAGGGTGGTGGAGGGGCGGCGACCGAGGCGGCCTCATAGAGAGTGGGTGAAGGCGGAGGGAGCGTGGGGGTTAATGTGGGGAGAAAGCCGGCGTCCATTACAGGGCCGAAGCGGAGGAAGATGGCGAACAAGTTGAGGATGCGTGCGTATCCCTGCACATTCACTGGGGAGCCCTTGGGCGAGGGTGTGATTGCTCCGGAGTTCCTAGACGAGGTCAGAGGGTCCGAGAGTAGTAAGGGGATTGGAAAAGGTAAAAAAAAATTGGGTGGTAAATACAGATGTTCGGACCTAAAGGGTCAGACGAAAAGCGTCAGTGCAAGATTTGCACTGACGGGATTTCGTGGAAGCAATCCACAACAACACCCGGTGAGCGGCACTTCGTAAGCTACCACACGGCGCACATGCACGTGTGGCATCACCGTTATCACACCCCGTCCATTCACTTGCCTGGGGAGACGTCTCCTCGTAGGGGCTACAAGGGTGTGTTGGATGGCTACGTCGATCGGTGGCCGCATGCCAAGTCTTGGCCGCATCTCGCTAAGAAGAAAGAGAAGGCGTCTGGTGGGGGAGGCGATCGCCAAGCTGGTGGTCACCTGTGACCTCCCCTCCCCCATCCCATGCATGATGTATGATGGGGATGGGGCAGTCTGTGGAAGTAGTGGACCATTTTGTTGGATGCACGTCATTCTGAGTGCATGTCATCCTAACGTCCTGCCGAGTGCTCGTGCTATTTGTGCTTGCAGGATTTGCATGTGCGTATGTCATTATGCATGGCTGTTGGATATTATCATCTCTCTGATTTTCTCCAATTTTAAATGTTTGATTATGCAGGAGAAATCCAGAGCTTTCCACCGATACCAAGATCGCCTTATTCCGACCAAGATCGCCCAAGTTACAAGATTTCCAAGACTTGGATTTCTTATTACCTTTTAGGGTTAGATCTAATTTGGGTAATTACTTGGACATGACTATAAAGGGATCTTTGGTTAGGTGGTTAGGGAAGGCAATTTTGACTTTTGGTTTGGGGTGGCTAGAAGTTTCTAGCATGGGTTGCAAATGTTGCAACACCTAGGCGAAATCCAACTAGATTGGATTTTGCATGTGACACCTCAAGGACCTCATGATGAGGGTTACATCCTTGCTACTAGGAAGGTTCCTACCATCCTTCCCTAGCTCTTGGAGAACCCCTTCCCTCTCATGGTTCTCTTGGGGTCTCCAACTCCAACTATTCTGTGTCTTAATGCTTGTACTTCCTCCACCATCCTAGTCATGCGGCTGCTGGACTTTTTTTACTTGGTTCTCACTCTATAGACCATCTTAATGACCGATTTAACTTGAAGATGGTAGCTACGACTAAGGCGCACAATCCTATCGAGCCGATTTGCGTTTAGTTGAGTAATGAGTTCGTCGTAAGTTCTCAAAGTGACGGATCCTGAACAACAAGTGGTATCAGAGCGGGTAGTTGACTTTGAGACGACGAATCGTCGTAAATTCTCAACCAACAATGACGATTGAGACCAGTTTCGAGTAACTCTGCTCACTTTCAATTGGTGGTCAAACTGCGTTCTAATTCGAAGTATCTAGTCTATAACGACGATTTTCGTAGAGTAAAAAAATTCTGGAAGAATTCTCTCCAATCGATTTCTCAAGTTTCCACCGTTCATAAGGCCTCAATATGACTGGAACGGACTCCGGGCGTGCTAATGACGAGATGACTGGAGGTAGAGAGGCTGGAGATCAGGGGGGAGTTGCTGGTGGAGGAGTGTGTCGGTGCTACCTACGTCTACTATGCCATCTCCAACAACCATGGATCCTGTGAAGGCGTTCTCTATTGAGAAGTTCATGGGGGAGGGCTATGAGCACTGGAGTTTCCGCATGAGGGTGATGTATACCCAGTACAAGCTATTGGATCTGGTGGAGGGGAAGGAGAAGATGCCGGAGGCCGCGGAGCTGAAAGGAGCGTGGATGAAGCGATCGTTCGACGCGTACATGCTCATGGTGCAAGCGGTTGGCGGGCGACAAATTGACCACATCAAGGACTTCTTCGGTGATCCAGAGTGTGGCCCCACGGCTTGGAGGAAGCTTCTGGATGTGCACTCACCAACACATGCTACCGACATCGTGCTACTCGCGCGGAGGCTGCGTGACATTAAGTTCGTTGATGGAGAGCCGATGCAACCAGTGTTGGATGAGATGCGGGACATCTTCACGAAGCTCCAAGGCGGCGGTGTGGTGTACCCGGGGCTCGTGCAATGCGCAGAGATCGTGATACGGCTGCCGGAGTCGTGGTCTGCCCTTGCGATCAACCTCAACTCTCAACAGCCCCAGTGGAGTGTGGATTACATTCGTGCGCGCATCCTAGAGGAGGACTCGCGGCGGCGGAGTGTGGAGCACTCGGAGGAGGGGGCTGATTATGGAGTTGGAGGTGGAAAGAAGGACAAGAAGAAGGACAACCCTAAGGAGGATGGTGGCGGGGGTCAAGGGGAGGTGTGCTTCTACTGCAAGAAGCGCAGACATCGTTGGCGGAAGTGCTACCAACGACCCAAGGATTGGACCCCGCCTTCATCAAGCAACCAGCATGGTGGCAAGAGGAGTGGGGGAGTCATGAGAGCTAGTGGAGAGGAGAAGGATGAGGGGAAAGGCGGCAAATCTGAGGGGCGGATGGCCGGGTTCTTCTTCTTCGTGAACGAAGGCGCAACCGACCTCGCTATGGCTGCCAAGGTTCTCCTACACCCCCTCACCTATTGGGTGATTGACTCGGGAAGCTCCTGGCATATGACTCCTCGTGCGGACCTACTCCATGAGATTCAGCCCGCACCAATCACTACCGTCACATCCACGACGGGCGCCAAGGCCAAGGTCATGGGCATGGGGTGCGCCAAGTTTATGGGAGCGGATGAAGAGCTCGTGGGGCTGAAGAACGTACAGTGGGTGCCGGACTTGTGCGCGAACCTGATTTCTACCGGCCGGTTGGGAGATGCGGGTGTGAACACGGAGACAATTAGCTCGGTGCGCTATCGTGCCTACAACAATGAGCGGCTGATTTGGGACCTGCAGCAGAACGGGGATGTCCACAAGCGCATGTGGCAGATCAAGGTCCTCCCTTGGCGGAAATCGGGCAAGGCGGCAGCTGCGGCATATATGGAGGAGAGCATCACTGAGGAGGGGCAGCAAGGTGTGCAAGGAGAGGAGCTGATTGGAGAAAGCGCGGCGGTGAAGGCGTCGGCTACTTTGGGCCAAGCGGATTGGGAGACTTGGCATCGGTGACTCGCACACGTGGCTGTTTCAACATTGGAGGTGATGCACAAGGAGAAGTGCGTGCATGGGCTGCAACTGCAAGGAGATGGCGCTTCTGTTGGCAGCTACGAGGCGTGCATGCAAAACAAGTTTGCGCGGTTCTCGTTTCCACGTGTGGAGGGATCAGCTAAGGTGCCATTGGAGGTGGTGCACATGGACCTGGTGGGTCCTATGAGGACTGAGGGGACTAGGGGAGTGCTGTACTTCCTCACCATGGTGGACGAATGGATCCGTTTCACGTGGGCACGTCAATGGTGGAGCGGCAAGCAATGCGGCTAGTGAAGGTGCTGAGGAGCGACCATGGTGGAGGGTTCCTTGAAGCAGAATTCACCAAGTTTCTCAAGAGGAACGGCATTCGACACCAGCTGACCTACTCAGGAACACCGTTGCAGAACGGCATTGCTGAGCGTACCAACCGGACAATTGGCGAGGCGGCTAAGACCTTGTTGGGGGCTGCTGGGATGCCCTACAAGTTCTGGCCTGAAGCTATTCGCCATGTCATCACGGTCAAGAACAGGGTCTTGTCGCATGTTGGTGACAAGCATTGGGCGCCGTACGAGCGTTGGCTTAGGAAGAAGCCATCAATTGACATGCTGCGGGTGTGAAGATGCATGGGGCTTGTGATGGTGCTTAAGGAGCAGAGGCACAAACTGGAAGCTGCTGCTGTGTGGGCAGTCCATCTTGGGATGGCTCCTGACTCGAAGGGGTGGCTGATGTGGGACCCCAAGAGCAAGAAGACGCTGGTCAGCCGTGACGTCAAGTTTGTGGAGGACGCCATGTACAAGGACTGGCAGTAGCAGCAGAAGGTGCATATTGGCTTGCGTCTGCAGGAAATTGAGTGGTATGCAGTGGAGGAGGTTCAGCTGCACCTTGAGGATCTCCCTGGATCAGAGCTGACCAGTGACCACAGTGGCGGTGGTGAGCAGCAAGGTGCTGGTCCTACTGCGGAGGAGGGGTTGGAGGATGAGTCGGCACGTGTGGACTCACCATCTCAGCCCGAGCCTGCTGCAACTGCCAAGGTCGCCAAGAGGAGTGTGCAGAGAGAAGCTTCACCACATGGGCAGCAGATTGCAACCCGCAAGAAGAGAGTGGCAGCAGCACCCTCAAGGCTGAAGTATAGCCGTTTGGAAGGACCCAAGCAAGGTGCCATGGTGGTTCAGGCGGATGAGGGAGAGGATGAGGAGATGGCGTTCCGTTTCTTCACACCCTTGCCTGGAGAACCAGCCACAGTGGATGAGGCAGTGAGTGGACCGTACAAGGAGGAGTGGAAGGCAGCCATGGATGTGGGGTTCAACAGTCTCATTGAGAATGGGACTTGGGAGCTTGTTGAGTTCCCCGAGGGGCGACGGCCGATCAGCAGCAAGTGGGTCTTCAAGGTGAAGGGTGGAGTTGATGGTGTGTTGGAGCGGTTCAAGAGCCGTTTGGTCGCCAAGGGGTTTCAACTGAAAGAGAAGGTCGACTTTGGGGAGATATTCGCTCCCGTTGCTAAGCCAGTGAGACTGAGGACTTTGATGGCTGGCGCAGCTGTGAAGGGATGGCATGTGAAGCAGATGGATATCACCACTGCGTTCCTCAATGGAGTGCTGCTGGAGGATATCTACATGTTGCAGCCCGACGGCTATGAGAATGGGACCGGCAGGGTGTGCAAGCTCAAGAAGGCTAACTATGGCCTTAAGCAAGCGCCCAGGTGCTGGTACGAGAAGTTGGAGGAGGTGCTGCTGAGTGGAGGCTTCAAGACGTCCCAAGTGGATCACATCTTGTTTCTGCTTGGAGAGGGGGAGTAGATGCTCTTGCTGCTGGTGTATGTCGACGACATACTGCTGTTCTCGCCTTCCATGGAGCAGATTGAGAGGACACAGAAGCTGCTGATGGACAACTTCAAGTGTAAGATGCTGGGGGATGTCCACTACTACTTGGGGCTGCAGATTGAGAGGGATGTTGAGAGGAGGTGGCTGAAGGTGCATCAGTCACACTACATCTCTGGTGTCATGCGGTGCTATGGTGTGACTGGGGGTCGCACTGTGATGACAGCGTTCCCTGCAGGCTTCAAACTGAAGAAGGCAGCTGAGGAGGATGATGTACTCGAGGATGAGCAGCAGAATGAGTACCAGCCACTCATTGGGAGTGTGATGTATGCTGCTGTTCATACGCGACCTGATGCTTCAATCGGAGTGGGGCAGCTGGCCAGAGTTGTGCAGCGGCCCACTGAGGAGCAATTGGAGGTGGCAAAGGGCTTGGTGCGCTACCTCGGATCAACGGCATCTGCTGGTGTTCAGTTTCCAGCTGGCGGCTCGCTGAAAGA